ATTAAATACCACCAAAAGAAAGCTCTATCTGTCCCCCAAAAAACGGTATACAATTCATGTCAGTACAGCGTTGCATGACGGAATAAATGTCAGTCAAAGTACCGCAGCGCTGAACACTGAAAAATGGCCTGGCCAGGAAGGGGGTCTAAACACAGCGGTCTTCAAGCGGTTAATGTCACTATAAGTATCACGGTGTCAGGGTACCATGCACAGGTGTCCCCACACCGCATGCAGGTACCCACACAAGAAGACCAAATTAATGTGACCACACTGGGTAGGGTATGTGCATACTGTTCTTTGGTACACAGCAACAGGAAAGCCACAAACCCCACCTACACCCACAAGCTAACACAAGCAGAGAGAAAGCTCAAATAGAATGAAAACACACCTGCAGCAAGAGGGAACAGGGCTGGGAACTGCAAAGCAGGTATCAGGGTCAGGATCCAGGAACTGGCTACAAGGAAGGGTTCAGGGCTGCATACGGGTGTGAGGCTCAGGACAGCAGCCGGGTAACAGGTTTCAGGTAACAGGGTACAGGGTACAGGGCTCAGGACACGGGACTCAGTCAGGGGAAGGCAACGAAATACTGAGCCGACGTCCTGACTGCAGGGAGGGCCTAAATACCCTCCCAGGAAGCACCAGGTGATGGGATGATCATTGGCAGCTTGGGCACACCCGCAGGTGAGCGCTGGAGCTGCAGTTTCCAGCACCACCCAGTCCTGGTCTGATTCCTGACAGTTCCTGGCTGCTGGAGACACCCGCAGACGAGCACAGGAACTGCAGGACCTGACTCCAGCGCCACCTAGGGGTGCTCTGGATCCTGACACACGGCATACGCCAGCATTAGAACAATAATTCTGGAGCTAATATGTACAGTTAAATCTATATTTAACTGTACACTAGGGTTGCCACCTATCCTGGACAGGTGGCAACCCTAGTTACCGATCTGGCTTGTCCCTGACAACGCCTCAGCCTCTCACACCAGCGTCGTCTGATCTGCCATCTTCCACCAGCTGTCTCTGGCGTCCTGTCGTCACCATCAGCACACATAGTGTGTCCAGCAGTCATACCAGCCACAGGCACTCGCGCCCCTCTCTCTGTCTGTACAACTACTGTTCCATCTCCAGTGGGGCAGCAAGGGAAGGCCTTCCTCGTCCCTTCAGGCTCACACCAAGCTACGCGACAATCACTTTACAGAGAAATTAACTTGTTTGCAAAAGGGATTCCGGTGACAGTGATTGTTCTCAAATCAAAATCAGAGCAGTGTACATGAACGAGAAACTTACTTGTAAGACGTCCAGTAGTTTGTGCCGTCCACCCATTTCCACAATCCTTCCTTGTGGGTGTCGTGCAGACCAAGCCAGTAACGCTTGAACGAGGATGGATTTATTTTACCAGCAAAAAAAACCTGAAATGAAGAAGCAACCATTAACAACTGAAGAGTCAGCTGCGGCTATTTAACACTTCCAGGTGTGTAGAATACCAGCTCCCCCCTATCTGATTTTTTGGTTCCTCCCACAGGGTTGTACATGACTACAGGACAAACCAGTGGGATGAACCATTGTTCGACCCGCCCAAAGCGTCAATGACTTGCAGCGAGCAGGGAGCAGCATCTGAGCGGTGTTTCAATACCCAGGCCACCAGAAAGGTCAGTGTGTAACCTCTTCTTTTATAGATATTTCTTCGTTTAGTTTTTGACCCTGTAGTGAGAGCAGAAAGGATACCACAAGTCCAGGCAGACTTGAAGACTTCCATTTATTCCATGTGCCCATACACTGTGCGATTATCGCAGGATAATCGCGGGGAAATCCCGCGATCGTACTATAATCGCAAAGTGTATGGCAGGCGTGCAACCGTTTCTACTGTACGGTCGCACGTCTTTTGTCTAAGGAGCATGTTCGAAAACAAGCCAAAAATCTTACGATTTTCCGCTGGTTTGTGTCATGCTCGGGAGACAAATGCCGAACGGGCCGGTGCACGCGCACACTGCCCGTTCAGCATTGCGGTCATCAGAAGCCCGTCCCTCAGTGGGGGGGCTTGCGATGATCGCAAGTACGATCTGCCTGTCCAAGATGGGCAGATAGTACGTTTTTTTAAAAGGAGAACTATGGGGTTAAGGCTTTTCCCCATAGTTCTCCTGTGTGTAACGGGAGGACACAAACTAGCGTCCTCCCATCACCCTAGGCTCAGTATATAGGGAGCTGCTGCTCGCGGTATACTGAGGCGCCACAGCTGGAGCGGATCCCAACAATTGTGCCGGGATCCGCCCAGCTGCGTCACTGACAGCTGGCTCTGCCTATCTAGAGGCAGAGCCAGCTGTACCCGCCCCCTCCCCCGTCCGTTCCGCCAGTCAGCGCTGGCGGATCGGAGCGGGAAGGGGGGAATCCAGCCCCTCCCCTGTCACGGCAGAGAGCTGTGACAGGATCGAGAGGTGAGCGAACGCCGGTATGTGTTCGCTCACCTCCCGATCTACTGAGCCGACCTGTGACAGTCTCATTGTCACAGGTCGGCTAGAACTATGAGGTGAGTGAGAAGCCCCTCCCCACCCCCCTCATAGTTCTCCTAGAACTAGACTAAGACTAGTTCTAGTCGCAAGACTAAGGTCTTGCGAGGGTTGTAAAGTGTATGGCCACCTTGACATTTCATAATCCCCTTTACACTGCATTCCTATCAACGCTCAGCTGAAATGTTAGATCAATCTGAGAGTGGTTGTGTTTTTAGGTGGCCATACACTTTACAACCCTCGCAAGACTTTAGTTGTGCGATGGTTGTAAAGTAATGAAAAAAACCTACGATCTGCCCAGCTTGGACAGGCAGATCGTACTTGCGGAGGGGCGGGCTTCCGATGACCGCAATGCTGTACGGGCAGCGTGCGCACACCTGCCCATTCGGCATTTGTCTCCCGAGCAAGCCACAAAGCAATTGTGCTTTGGAATCCTGTCTCTGCCTAGTCCGAAAATCGTACGATTTTCGGCTGGTTTTCGAACATGCTACTTAGACAAAAGACGTGCGACCGTACAGTAGAAACGGTCGCACGCCTTCCATACACTTTGCGATTATCGTACGATCGCGGGATTTCCTGCGATTATCTTACGATAATCGCACAGTGTATAGGAATGAAGGGGAAGACCAGTGGTCACCAACACATTTGCTATCTCTTCCGCCCACAGATCTGGTTGGGTCATCTTACATGCACTGGTGTTGGATAAGAACCCAATACTGGTACATGAAGCAATACAAATCATTACATATAGGCAGCGCCAATTACCACTGAGAAGAGAGAATATCAGGGATCCCAAGATTGCACCCCCCTGAAATGATGGCAGATAGCACAGGAAGCAATAGCTAGAATTAAAAAAAAAGGCATACGAATGCATAGCTAGATTCCTATTGGCGATTTCACTTTGCAATAGCCAATAGCAAACTAGCAATTGCACCCGCCTTCTGCTGCTTTCAATCACTAGAAGAAGAACTGATAGAAAACTTCAGGTCCCCCTCTGCTGATTGACAGCAGCAGTGGGCGGGTGCATTAGCTAGTTTGCAAAGCTATTGCAAAGTGAAATCGCCAACAGGAATCTGGCTATGCATTCCTATGCCTTTTTTTTTTGTTTCCTGACTGACGGCGGGCCGCGGCTCCTGATGTCAGGAAAAAAAAAAGCGTTCGCAGGGAAAGGCTTACTCTGCTGGATCAAGCAGAGTAAATTTTTCCGGGAGCGGGAGACTCCCGGAGAGTTGGGATTTCTGGAATGTATTTTATGAGTGAAGTGTCTTTTCTTAAATCTCAGAGCTCCCAACGGTCTCTCGTTTTGGCGGGAATGGCCCTCCCAGTATCTCACCTGTTCTTTGTCGCTATTAATTACAATCAAGTCACTTTCTTTTCCTTGGCACATGGTCCTGGCTGCTGTCCATTCAAATTTGGATTTGCTGATGTAGTAGCAGGAGTTCTCAAACTGTATCCAGCCATCCTTACACTCCTTCTCTAGAACAATCCGGAAACATAACAATGACACTCAAGTTATAAGGGATCAACGTTTTTAAACATCCTTAAGACTTTAGGACACCATTAATCAACATTTTACCCCACAGGAACCCCTAAAATAATATCTTGGTTTTAAGGAGCCTGTCGGCAACATTCCCGTCCCATGCATGCGCCAAGTCCCGCTAGGAGGACGCTCACAGCATGCGCATAGCTCGGAATTCCTGCAAAGGGATGCGCCGCATGGGGCACCGGAAGTGACGCGCACACTGCGCGATTCTCAAGAGAAAACCTCGCCAAACGGCGCACAGGAAGTGACGCAGCTGATTGGCTCACTTCCCTATTTAAACCTGGCCTGCACGACCATTAGTTGCTGGATTGGAAAAGTGGGAATCATTTATTTAGGCCCACTGACATAGGATTGTGGCGGTCCCAGTGTTTTTTCTCCCGCTTCCATAAAATTTAGGTACCGTCCCTTTAAGATGCTAACTGACAAATGTTAACTGACAAATTTCGGCGGGAAAAGGACAGGTTTCGGCGGGAAAATTCAGGCTCATGTCTCTTCTAGAAGTTTATGGACAGTTAGCCCAGGAGCTTATATATGGACTCTTCACAGCGAGCTCCTGCCCACCCGCCCTTTAGCTATTTGTCGCATGCTCCTTTATGTGGTATGTCACTCTTTAGAAAGAGGGGACTTCTTGTTGGATGGTTTTAGAATATTACTCGAGTTGTAGTGGCTGGGCAATTTTTTGTGGTTATTTTAAGTTCAAGTTACAGTTATCAGTTTGAGTTTAATAAAGTTTGAAATGATTTTAATATGGTAACCAATAACGGGGCCGCGGCCAGTTTAAACCACAATGGGTGTTATGAGTATTATTATATTTTATTTTTTATAATATAAGTATGTTTATTGAAAGGGTACCGCCTACATTCCCATGTCCTTTCAGCCCCTAATTGTGCTTTGGAATCCTGTCTCTGCCTGGTCCTGTCTACTGCTTGTTGTCTGGATTTTGACCCGGTTCTGCTCAACAACCTTCCTTGCTAGCTGCCTGCCTTTGACCTCGGACTGATTATTGGAACCCGTCTCTGCCTAATCCGTCGGTACTGCATCTGCTCTCCTGGTTTGACCTCGGCTTGCCTTGACCTTGATTTCTGGATCACCCTCGGCTAATCCCCTGACGCAACCTTCTGCTTGGACGGTTTCAACACCACTGGCACTCGTGCCACTCGTTGTCTGCCTGGCCTCTGTCTCCAACCTCAGAGGCCACAGGACACGAGGTGCAAGAGAAGCCTCCTCACGAATTCAGTCTCCCTACCAGGTACATGATAGAGCCATTAGTAAAACCAATTTATCAGTGGTCAAAGGGAAAAAGCTCCTTACATTGGGGGTCAGTGGGAAGAATGTCCCTTACATTGGTGGTCAAAGGGAAAAAGCTCCTTACATTGGGGGTCAGTGAGAAGAATGCCCCTTACATTGGTGGTCAGTGAGAAGAATGCCCCTTACATTGGTGGTCAGTGGGAAGACTGCCCCTTACATTGGTGGTCAGTAATGAGAATGCCCCTTACATAGATGGTCAGTGAGAAGAATGTCCCTTACATTGGCGGTCAGTTGGAAGAATCTTCCTTACATTGGTGGTCAGTGAGAAGAATGCTCCTTACATTGGTGGTCAATTGGTGGTCAGTGGGAAGAATGCTCCTCATTGAGAAGAGTGCCACTCTTACAGACAGCAACAAAAGATCACTGGTGTCACGCTGCTTGTAGGGGGCTGTACATAGCTTCCTGAAAACATCACAGCATCCTGTTTGAGTACTCCTCTCAAGAGCCCTCAGCCCTGATGCAAACAGTGGGATGGCTCTTGGGAGGAGTTATGCCAATATCGAACTGCGTTGATGGGTTGACGTCAGTCTGGAGGAGTGGGTGTTCCTAGGCAGACTGCCCTATAGTGCCCACATGCAAAGCTAAGCCTCCACGATTAAAAGAAATGAAATCCAATAAAAGGGATGGGACAGGGATAGTCAGGCTGGGGAGGAAAGGGCTAGATAATTATATCCTCCAGCCAGGAAATTAGGCTTTCTGCAAGTGTATTTCATTCTGTGTATGTAGCCATTTGCCTGCAGTTCAACTATGACATATTGTAGATAAGCAGAAGCATCATACTAGGTATTGATGGGATCTTCTATTGTTGTCACGTACCTGTCTGAGCAGCCCCTGTTCGGGGTTTGGACCTGGGTCTCTGCCCAGAAGTGCACAGACCTAGCCATTCAGCCACTGGAAGGACTTGGTTTCTCCTGCAGGTTATGTGTACTGAGCAACTCTCCTTATGGACACTTTGACTCCACCTGCCAACCAGCTGTAGAAGATCTCCAATTATCTCAGGCTTTAAATACAGGACACTTCCTGTGCTCTGAGCCTGTTGATTTGGGTTAGTTTCCTGTGTGAGCTGCCTCGGTGTTATATATGCTGGATTTACACCGTGATTCTTGCCTGTTTCCTGACCATTCTTCTGCCTGACGACTTTGTACCTTGCTGCCCGATCGTGTCAAGACCTCAGCCTGCCTCCTGACTACTCTCCTGGATCTCGACTTTGTACCTCGCTGCCTGACTGTTGCCGACCCTGCCTGCCTGACCATGTCTTCGCCTTATCCTCAGCCAAAGATCCACTTCGGACTCAGCCTACTACAGGTGCGTTTCAACTGTGCAATCTATGAACTTATTTCCCTTCGATCTGCATAGGCATCAACCTGAACACTCCAGAGACCCGGTCATTCAAGTTTATGTCCTCATCTGGATGAAATAACAATGGGATAATGCCTGAACATCTGACTGTTAGCAAACGTCTATGACCGGCTTTAGATATGTTGTCATTTGCTCCGTTCAGCTATATTCACCTCGCAGGTCTTCTGCAATATGACGAACAAACTACTTTTTTTTTCTATTTAATGACTTATACTTTTCAGGTTAGCGCTCTTACTTTTAAAAGTTGACTCCAGCCGCTCCATCTCTGAAGAAAGGGCACTGACTGCGAAGGAAAAATACATTGGGGTAAATGTAAAACTTAAAAATGTAAAATGTACACCACCAAATATAAAAGTGACAATGGTCTGTAAACAAGGGGGGCTTCCTCAAATTGAATCCGTCCATCATAATAAAGTTAAAAAGGAAAAATTACCAATTTTGTTCATAGTAACAAGATTTCTTGACATGCCAACCTCCTGATGAGGTCGCCTTCCCCATATTTAACAACCACCTGGTTCTCTTGTAGGAGCCCTCTTCTAATTCCTATGTCTCTCCTTACAAAGAGTTGAGCTGCCCATACACGGCTTGAATTTTGGCCAAGTCCTGCTGACTCAAGTGAAACCGTTCCAAAAATTCTTAGCTGAACAGTGACTACAGCC